TGTAAGGAGTGCAGGTGACACATAAACTCACTACATATATACATCGGGGGACACACAGTGACAGCTCTCAGCAACAGCTTTAGACTGAGAACTGTGTTCAAAAGTTTTGGGCGAGTGAAAGTATTGCTGTGAACAATTCACGGAGCCATGCATGACACATTCTCCACAGGGCTGATGCATGCATTCTTGCCTACACAGGGGAACACACATTTTTCTGCCCCCCCCCCCTCTTAGGCTGCAGCCTTATGCCAGCCCTGCTTGCTGATTGGCTCTGGCTCCCTAATTCGGCCCTGTCCTTTGGACTGTCCAGCCTTCCCGGATCTAGGTGAGAAAAGATGGTGGGTTTCACGCTGGTACTTCAGGGACCTGGCCTCCTGCGGGGCAGCCTACTGCACCCACCCACTGGACCTGCTGAAGGTGAGCGCTCACCCATGTTCTGGAATGGGAAGAACTGCCCATTAATGTGTGCGCAGGTGACGTTCCACAGGGATCTGAGGGTATGTGTGTGGAATGGCTGATTCTGGAGAAGTATTTGGCATTCTAACTGCCTAGCCTGCGGTGTATTGAATCTGGTCTGCAGTCTGCCATAGATTGGTGCTGGTCTGCCATGCATTGGTTCTGGTCTGAGGTCTGCCATGCATTGGCTCTGGTCTGCCGTGCATTGGTTTTGGTCTGCAGTCTGCTGTGCATTGGTTTTGGTCTGCAGTCTGCTGTGCATTGGTTTTGGTCTGCAGTCTGCTGTGCATTTGTTCTGGTCTGTGGTCTGCCATGCATTGGTTCTGGTCTGAGGACTGCCCTGCATTGATTCTGGTCATGTGTAGACTGACCATTTGGGGGCCTTACTACATGCACTGGAGCAGAGGGGCGGGGGTTTGTATTCCGCACATACAATATGCGCCCAAATCCCACTACGGTCCTAGATTATTCACTTTCCCTGTCAAACTTTTTACTAATTCTCCTGCAATTCATCCAGAACAATTGGCAGAATTGAAGAATGTAGGTCAAAATTTCTGCTATTTGATTCACTTTCCAAATCACCTATATTGGTCTAGATTTTGAATGTCACCTAACAATTCCCCTGCAGTTCACTTTTTTGTGAATAGACCTGCTATTTTGAAAACAGTGCAGAGAAATAATTTCTGTAACACAAGAATGTATATGTTGGTGGGGCCTGTATATGGGTGGAGCACAAGGGGGCCCCATAATCTCTTATTGCCCGTGGGCCCCATGTGTTGTTAGTCCGCCCCTGGCCTGAGGATACACCAATCCAGATAATTGCTGTAAAGAGAATAGCGCAAGCAGCGGGTTTGAAGTCTTTATTGAAGTTACTGAAAAAAAACATTACCCACAGTGTATCAAGTAACTTGAAGAAAAAATTTCCAGTAAAAAATAGAGTCCATCCTCCTAGGACACGAACAAACATCTAATGCATGATGGTTGGAGAAGGGGTTTTATGAGGCTTAATGTTTTTTTGTCTGCCATTGTTCAAACTTCCTGTAGGCATCCATATAACCCACATGTCCTAGAATGACTGCAATCCTGTCCCCTTCAATGGACAATGAAGACATTTTCTTTCAATATGTCATAGTTTGGCCAAAAATTATCCACTGCAATTGAAGCCCAACTCCAGCCCATTTCTTTGATGATTTGGATAGAATGAAGAATGGTTTGAACTTTTCCTGAGTTATACTGTTATAAATTACTTCCTGTCCCTGTGACCCCCATTTTGGCTGGTGAACTACGTGAAATTACTTTACTACTAACCAGCAAACAGATTCCCCATGACAAGTAATTTGTCAAAAAAAAAGCAGCTAATGCTAAATATAAGAAAAGATGAGGAATTCATTTGTATTATCTTTAATATTATTAAGCTCAGATCCATCTTTGGTTGCTCTCTGAAATGGGCATTTACAATTTTGACTTTATTGTCTAAAACTGCCCCACAGAACAGGCTGTGTCTGAAGCTGGACATGTAATTCCTTGTGGGAACAGTGACTGAATGAAAACTGTTGTTTGAGGGATCAAACCAAAGCTACATGATCAAGCACACTGTCTGGTCTGTAGCAGCTATTCATGCTCTCCAGAGAGAGTAGAGGGTAGCTTACCTTTGAAAAATGCTGCTTCAGGACTTGCACAGCTCACTCTACTTGTCAATCAGAATGTAGAAAAAAGGCTCAGTTATGAGAAGGTACAAGGTGCAACACGATAAATTCCTACATTAAAGTGTAAAACCTCTTCAAAGTGAACATATCTCCAGATCATGCACACTGAAGTATTTACATATTCTTAAGCGACAGGAAGTGCACTTAAAATAAGCTTTCACTCACCTTTGTATGTATAAGCATTGCTGAAAAATTAATTTCCACAACACAGGCATTAATACCTTAGCTTTTTTTCTGAAAGCAGATCTTAGCAGCCTACAAGCCCTCTAATATTAACAGATAGCAGATGCTTCTAGGTTGCCAGAAACCCACTGAAACCTGAATTCAACGTCTTAGTTGTGATCTTTGAGGACCTCTGAGAATGAAAAACTTCACATTAAAATCAACTAAGAGTGGCAATTAAGGGCTTGCTTTAAAGCTGTTTTACTGCTTGTTAAGAATATGCAGGGACAAGTCTATAATTTTGCCACTTTATAGATCATTGGTTCAACCTCATCTGGAGTACACGGTCCAGTTCTGGTCACCAGTACTAAGAAAAGATGTCCTTGAGTTGGAAAAAGTCCAGCAGAGGGCAACCAAACTAATTAGGGGTATGGAGGACCAGAGCTACGAGACAAGGCTACTAAATTTAAACATGTTCACATTAGAGGTGAGGAGATTAAGGGGGGATATGATTTCCATGTACAAGATGTTCAATGGTGGTAGCAACATTAGCAATAAACTGTTTAAAATTAACTCCTTTACAAAAACTAGAGGGCCCCCCCTATTATTGGTGGAAAAAAAATTCCAGCACAAGGGGCGAAGGGGGTTCTTCACAGTAAGATCAGTTAGGGTCTGGAACTCACTGCCACAGGCGGTGATTTCAGCAAATAATGTGGAATTGTTCAAGAAACGTTTGGACGATTTCTTAAGGGACCGTAATATACAGGGGTACAGGTACTCCTAGAATGAGATCCTAATAGGTTGGACTTGATGGACTAATGTCTTTATTCAACCTCAAATACTATGTAACTATGTAATATGTAAATAGGTTTATGTCCATAGGCTGAGTAAAGGTGCACTTTAACTGAAAATAATATAAACTGCAGACATTTGGGCTTATGCAGGAAAAGTGTGTTAATAAGAATATTAATTGATGCTCATAGCAATATGGTTGATGATTGGTTGCTAAGGGCAACAAGAAATGTTCTTGTTACCAAGATTTTCATAATAAGGCTTAATGTAATAGGTTGCCATTTCACACTGGAAAGTAATGATGCTGTATAAAAACACCAGCCAAAGAAGTCTATGTAGATTTCTTGCATTTTATGCAATTATCTTCCGTTATGATTACCAAGTTAAGGTTACTAATTAACAAAAAAACAAAATTAACATATTTGACAACATAACACTGGTGACACAATAGTGAACATCTGGAATGTTTCCAGGGACAAATTAAAGCCAGCCTCCTTGGATATGAGAGACAGCAGGCAAATGAGGGTGAAGCTAGAAAAGACTGGACTGTCATTTATTACAAATTATTCACAGTTTTAATGTTCATAGGGCCCATTGGGGTGGTTACATAACTACAATATCAACGGCTGAATACAATTTGTTATAGAAGCCGTGTGCAGACAGCCTCAAGCACTTAGTTCAAAGGCATAGTCCACCTTTAGGATAAAAATAATAAATGTGCCCACATTGAAAGAAGACAAATTGCACTTTTTATTTGTCATCAGTGATTAGTGCATCATGGGTGCAATGCAAAGGCTCCTGCAGACTTTTTAACTAGCCCAAGATCTGTACAGACCTAACGTTAAGGGACTGGATAAAGTAATAAATTGGACTACCAGTGAGTAGATGTCACTGCACCTTTCTCCATTAGGATCTATGAGTCCCTCAGCCATGGTGGCAGATGGGTCTTTCCTTCACATATCCCTGTGAATGGATGATACAGCTACGTACATTAAGCCATTAACAGCAGTGCTAAGTTTAATAATTCACAGGATGCTTCAGGGAGAGGGACACCTTGAGTGTGTGGGGCTGGGGTTGCAATTTGACCTTGTGTTATGTTACACCCTAAATATGGAAGTAACATGCAACATGGACTATGCCTTTGAGCAGTTAATCTAGCACACAAATGTGGTGCTTTTTAACTTATCTTCTTTACTTAGGCAAATAATTGTTGTGCTCAGAGATGCTTGTGAAAGCCTCAGAACATGGAAAGCTGACTAAAGATAACATATCTGAACAGAGGATGTCATGTCAGTGTGCTGAAGCAACAACTCAAACTGTCCATAACCACACTACTATCAGCTACATAAAATAGCTTTTAGCACCTGTTTTCGTCAATTGATATAAAATACCAAGTTCAACTCTCTATAATACATCAAAAAACGAAACTGTATTTAATACATTATCACATTCAGCTCCTAAAAACATTTTTTAAGGTGTACGGGAAAAAACAGCAGCCAAAACAATGTATAACATGGAAAATAAGCATAAGATAACAGGCTTTGAGAAATGCACCAGGCCCAAGGTGAAAAAAGTGCATATTTTAAAAAGACATGGAATGCTATACCGAAGTCCTCATCCTTAACTCAGATTATAAATATGGGTCCAATATTTCTACTGCATTGGTGACCATACACAGGATACAAACATCCAGCACAAATACATCCTTTAAATGCATAACACATTTACTAGCAATTGGTTAACCTCTAAAGGAGATCTCTAGGTAACAAAAAACAAACTCCCCCAATTATTTGTCAAATATTGGTTACGTTTCTGATATGTTCCCATTGTGAGTTTAAAACAAAATACTCCAGTTACTCAGTTATAGAATAGCAAATGCCAGGACAGAAATAAGCACTGTATTAGACTACTCAATTGGAGGGTGTGCATTTTATAAATTTCAGTAAAAAAAGGCACATGCAGATTGGCTAAACACAAGAGTGATTGCAGTATTTGGTAAATGCAGTGTTTTTCAAATTGGCCAAACAGAACTACTATGTTTCAAAAATAGTGTCCATCAGTGGGTTGGGTACTATGTTATTTTCTTTTTGATAGCAGCCAGCTCTTTTTGCACTTCAATGAACTTAGGCCGATTTTCTGGCTTGTACTCCCAGCATCGTTGCATTATTTTGAACACTTCCTCTGGACACTTCTGTGGAGCTGACATTCTATAACCTGAAAAGCATTTACCAAAAGCATTTTAATAGCATAATAAACAGCAAAAAAGCACAAATCTATCTGCAACAAAGATTGCCAATAAGTAGTGCATTTTGATTTTCTGAAAGCCAAAGTCAAGGAAAGTACCTAATTTTGCATTCTTCTGGACATAAATGTCATGTACATCTATAATTTAGAGAGGATAGTAATAAAAGCTATTACCTTTGATACCTTTATTGGCATAAGGTGCTACCAATGTATTATTATATATTTATAACCTGTAACACTTATAACCCCTCTAGTGGCAGCTAGCCACAGCAAAGCAGGAATTCTTTCTGAGGTGCTTCTCTGCAAGCATTCCTCAATGCAGCTCCATGCATATGCCTTACAAACTCTTAGTGCCCACTCCTCTGTTGGTGTGCCTCCCCTTCGCCATGGAAAAAACCTCACAAAGTCTCAAGCTTGCTACCCCTTCCACTCGTGACTCTCCAGCTTATCATGGACAAGACATCACTAGGACAAAGGTTTGTCATCACTCCACTTGTGCCTCTCCCATGTGAATAGCAGATCTTGATCTCTATCTGTGCTTCCCTGAGGGGGATGATGACATCCAGTTCCCAATATGAATGCTGTCCTGTTTCTCTGGCTCTTGCTGCTTTTCCGGTGGTCCTAAGTCTGCACTCTTGACTACTCTGCAGCCTGTGTCAACCCTTTTCCCCTTCTAAAGTATTCACATCACCTCTAGACCAAATATTCCTTTGTGGTGTGAAAGAAGTTATCGATGTTCACACACATGCAGTCAACACTTTCTTTACTGAAATATTATTCTGTGCCGAACAAACAGCAACTCTAAATTTAAAAATCTGAGTATCCGACTCACATGATGATTGTAGTTTCAAGAGGAATACTTCTGCTTACTCTGACTTTTCCTCCTCTCTTTTACTCCATGCATTACTTTTACGCGTGCCTAACAGCCCTAAGAGCCAACAATTCCATACTCTATGTTGTGGACACAACTACCCTGTTTCCCCGAAAATAAGACCTACCCTGAAAATAAGACCTAGTACTATTTTTGGGAATTGCTAAAATATAAGACCTACCCCGAAAATAAGACCTAGTTATGACCATTCCCAGGGCCGGTGGTGGCATAAGGGGGAACTTGAAGAGCCGCAGGAGAGAATCAGCTGTGCCAACCAAGCCAGCGCTAGAGGAAGCGAGGCGGCTCCGGAGGGATCAGAGCCGCAGAAGCCGATCCCTCCTCTATAGTGCCGGCTCCTGTCACCGGTGGAGCGATACCAAATGCACTCCGCCTATGAGGAATCGATAGTGAAAGTGCTCTTCGCTCATTCTTGCCAGCGATTGGTTATCACATTGCTCTTGGAAAGGTACGGCACCCCTAATTGCACTGATCATCATATTTTTGAATACATGTAGCCTTTTCTACCTGAATAAGTGCGGATTGTTGTACATTAAAAAA